TTTATGAAAAACTTTTAATTTTTATACACAATAATTACGGTGAAGCCGCAGCGGGGATGCTAGTATGTAACGTGAATATGATACAAGTGGATATATGAAAAAATCTCGTGCTGCGTGTCTTATTGTTAAGAATCTCGTCGCGTTTCGTTTCTCCTGTCCCGTACCAGCTATAGGAGACGTTCGCGCGGTGCAGCCAAAGAAGAATTCCTCGAGTAAAGATTCCTCGCTAAAGGACAGTCTGCTAAAAGTCTCGTAAACGTACTTTGTTTTCTATGTAACTGTTGTACACGAGGGATCTATGAACGTGTACCTATAAAAAAAGCGCCGAACGAGTTCGACGGCGACGTTAGGTGTTTCATTACTAGACTGCAGACTTCGAGTATCTATGAAAGAATTGAATGTGGAAAAAATATAAAGAAAACGTATCGTGCAAAAGTCAAAAGTACTCGATCTAGATTTCCCTTTTTTTTTTTTTTAATTTACATCGGAAATCTGCAAGAAAATCTGCAGTCTATTTATTATACTTTGTCGTTTGTCACGAGCGGCTTAGAGGATTCGCATGTAGGACGAAGGCGTTTTCCATTTTACATTCTCGCCGCGTCGTGGAGGCGTTAATTAAGGTATAGCTTTAGGGAAACGGCCCGTACTTGTTCGCTCTCTGTGTCCGCGTAATGTAACCGTAGCTCCTCCTGATCTCTTCGAATTCAGGCAAGAAGGCGACGGCCATAGGAAAATTCAGGAGGCGAACACTTCTTGACTGGACTCGGAGCGAATTGTAAATAAGTAAGAATTAATTTAATAAGTCGACTCGTCGTTACGATATGGCGAACGAGCTCGAGGCGAGCGTGTAACATATTGTAAGTGGACGGAGGAGGAGGACTCGGCTATAGTTGTGTAACATATACCACGATAGTATTAACGCGCGTTTCCTCGAGACGGTGGTGTTTGTACATAAAATCTTTTATCGTAGCGTACGTGTAGCGTTTACGCCGTATTCACGAATGTAGCACCGATAGAAATAAACGAATTTTCATTAAACCATTCTCTCCTGTGCCTCTTAAAAACAAATCTTCTATCCAGTTTATTGTTCCACTTTCCAAAATCGTTTTGTACCATTTAGTCTTCAGGCATTTACGACGTGGATTTCAGTTTGTTTTTAACTAAAAAACAAGACTGGTGTTCTGGTTTTGGAGAAGGCTGGCGAGGCTGCCGAAGGTTCCGGCGTCATCGGGAGGCACCGTTTCCCGGAGGCACGGTGGGTCGGCTGCTCCATCGAGTGTCTCGTCACGCCAGCTCAGGCTTCATCGCACCTCCAACTGCCGTGTAATTCTGTTATACCTATCTGAAATTAAATAAATTCATTTCACGGCCTGTCAACGAGCAATTATTTTTCGATGCAGCCACTTTAAAGCCGCCTCGGTTCGTTCCATGACTAACGCCTTTGCGACCCCTTGCCTCGGAGCTCTACGAGCCCGAGCCCAGAAGCATAACCACGTCCACTCTGTATCGCTTTCAGCTTGCCATCCGCCGCACCACTATTCTCGCTACTCATCGCAAATAACCTTCCTTACTTCCTTCCTATTCGCGTTATGCTCACGACCAACCTGATTCCGTCTACAAATCTTATCACTGAACCTCGTGCATTTATACAAAA